TGATGCCAGGAAAGCCATACCAGCAGGCAACGAGTACGACGGCGCACGCAAATCCCTCAAACGCCAAATAGTGAAGAGTCTAAGGAAAGACCGAGAGCTCTGGTGGACATCGAAAGCTCGGGAGATGGAGAAGGCTTTTGCTACGCGAAATAGCCGTGTCTTTTATCAACTGATACGATCGACTGGTTCTAGAAAAGCAACGGTCAGTGAAACGATAAGTGAAAAAGATGGCTAATTAAGTTACTCGCAAAAGCGTTGACTGAAAAGACGGGCCGAACACTTCGAGGAACGGTTCAACTGGCCTCTTGCAACACAGCCTGTGGAAATAGTGCACACGGGCTGATGGAATGTAAACGTTGATCGCCCGTCGGAAGAAATAAAGTACTGAAACATAAGAAGGCACCATGACCGGACGGTCTGTACCAGGCCTCTTCAAAGAAGGTGGAGAACCCCTAGTGACCCATCTGAAAAAGCTTTTTAGTGCTACATGGAACGAAGAGAAGATGCCTGAAGAATGGGGCATGTCGACAGTTATCCATATAATCAAAAAGAGTACGCGGACGCCGTGTGAAAACCACTGCAGCATCAGCCTGGTGGCGGTAGCCTAGAAGGTGCTCTCTGGTCTTATTGTTCGAAGGTTGAACACAGGGGGACAGATCCGTGAAAACCAAGGTGAGTTGTGAACTTGCTTCACCTGTGGCGTAGGCGTGACATCAGCTTAATCATCAAGGGCCGAGTTTACAATGCTGCAGTACGCTCCGTATTACTATACGGATCAGAAACCTGGCGCGCCGAGGACATCAAAAGACTTTCAGTGTTTGACCATCGATGTCTTCGGATCATTGCCCGAGACCGGTGGGAACACCCGATCAGCAATGCCGAAGTACGTCGAATGGTATTCGGAAGAAATAACCCACCCTCAATAGATGAACTGATCACGCTACATAGGTTGCGCTGGCTTGGCCACGTGCTGCGTAGGCCAGTCGACCGACTTCCTCGAAGGGTTCTTTTCACACCACCATGTGAAGGGTGGAAGAGAGCCAGAGGCGGTCAAACAATGACTTCGCAGCGAAGTGCGAAAGATATTTCCACAAAACTCAGTTGCGCCGGTCATTGCTGTCTTCCTGGATGGGGACCCCGAGACAGGCCACATCAATGGTTAAAGACATTGCCAGACATGGCCCAGTCGAGCTCTTGATGGCGTTCGTGCATCCAAGCTATTGCGCTCAATGCACAGCTCCCCTCCCAATGCCTCCAGCCCCAACCAATGCCTCCAGTTAACAGTCCACTGACAGTGCTGTGTTTACGCACCAACTTATCAGCAACTGCCTCCCTACCTGTCCAAATCATCAGTGAGCAAAACTGAGGCAGCTACAACCACTACACGACAAGTACGCGGTTCTTACAGCTGACAATGATGATGATGATCCCGAGTAGGACGTTGTGTTACTCCTATTTGATAAACCAAAACATCAAAACCGAAGCTTGGACCTCCCATTCGTCAAGTTCGGTGTGGATGAGAATGATGGAGGAAAGCGGTGGTTTATTTGGGTTAATATCATGCTATGCCAGGCAAGCAGATGTGCTAGCACATTCCGAAAGATGGGTGCACCGTCGAAGCTCTCCGTCGCGGTTGTGTGACTGCTGGGCCACAGCTTGACTACGACTTCTAGTACTGATGCGAGGAGTGCATCCCAAGCACGATTAAAGGTTTAAAAGTGAGTCCGCGATAGGAATTCCGAATCGGATTGTCCCTTTTTGAATATTTCCGAAATTTCCCCCGCTTGTTTAGTATGTTGGCCTCTAGGCGTACTACCGTGACTCCTTACAGAACCTGGTTACCAAATGTGACAAATGCCGTCGCTATGCGTTTTACAGCGAGACGGTGCTCTAGCTGGCACCAAGAGGAGCAATATACCGAAGTGTCGGGACCACTCAGTGGCTGCCAATATATAATATGTACTACTGAAGCCCCACATAAGTACGTGGGGGGCTTATCCACCCGCTTCCAGTTCAACACACTTAGTATTCCTCAGTATCAGTCATTTGACTCACCTACTTTCGCCGAACCATCATCATACTAGGCACCCGTCACCGAATAGTTGAACGGAATAGCTAGCACCACCCAGCGACTCCCTCATGGCGGAAACAACTTTAGCGCTCTACCCATAAGACGTGCTGACATAATAAACAACCAGTTCACATAAAACATGGTCGAGGTGGCTGATCAAGCTGATTCGGCCAGACGAGTAACCAGCCAACACACACCATATGACCCGACCTACCAGCCTCAGGCCAGGGAGTTCAAGACCTCTATTCAACCATCTGCTGCAGTACTGCAATCAGCAACCAACGGCGTTACCCAACCATCGGAGGGCGATCGCCCCTACCCATAAATTCAGTTCCAGGGATTCTAACCCATCACGTGGGACAGCAAGCAAATTCCTAGTGGCGCCTACCACCTCAATTAACTCGACACTGGTGCATTCTATGGCCGTCCATCCCTGGAGAGGGGAGGGGGCAACACAACACAAGTCTCCTGCGAGTGGCCAAAGTATATTTCACCAAAGCTCCCACATCCACGTCTGGTTTGACTTCCGACTCCTCCATTAGGATACTCTGAGCCGTTTTCTCTCTCTATTCATATCAAAACCAACGTTACCGACTGCTTCAATCACTCGGTTTTCATTTTATAACATGTCTCTGCCACTGGACCTCCCAAAAACCGATTACTCCACCACAGGTCGACCCCATGGCCTCGCCTTCACTGCCTTTTCTTCATCCATGAGTTTCTCGCGTCCCCAGGTTACTCTGCCCCCCCCCCAACACCCTAAGCGAGATGGCTCAGTGGTTAGAGCGCGAATTCGCTAACAAGAAGGTCCGTGGTTCCAACCCGACCTCTGCCTCTTGACTTCTGTCTAAAATTCAACAACCTGGCAGTGTCCCAGTTCTTGTTATTTTTCTGGTGGCATGGCAGTTAGGCATAGAAAGGGTGCAACAGTTGAATCAACAACCCGTATTAGTTGTTGGAGGCCTCCCTGTAGGATACCTGTTATTCCATTTCCTTACGCAAAATCTATCGGCGCATGGCGCCGAGAGGTATTTACATCAACTGCGTCGGCATCTGGAACAAGCATATAGGATTATTCGGTCTCGCATCCCACATTTCCAAGCGATTTATATTCAGGACCGAAACATGCCTCACCCATGAGACGAATGACAGTGAGACAGATCTGTAGGGATACATGGCTCACCCTTTTGATTCTTCCCGCGGCAGGCCCGGCGGTGTATAGATATTTGTTAACGGATACCTGCTCCTGTTTACACTTGCTTTATGCTTCCGGAAGAATCCATAAGCTCCTGGCTTATCGAGAACACTTAGGACGTAGATATTCACCATCTAGATAGCTTTCTGGCTTTACCCTCAGTCAATTCTCACAGGTATGTATTGGTGTCTCGCACTCACTCGAAACTCGCTTTCAGTGGAGTCCCAAGATCAGTGCCGGGTCCTATGCATTTCCCAATGCTTGGTAAATCGCTGTGCTCTTCTCCCAACTGATTGTAAAGTGTTACTTTGAGCTGATGACCTGAAGATATGGTGCAGCAATCCTAGTAATTTAAAGCAGGCTATCCAAACCTGTATAACCTGGGTCGAAATCAATTTCACACCCACAACTTCCAAGAAAGTCACTTATGTGTACATCCAAGAAATCCCATTTAATTATCTCACCTGTAGAGGGCAACTTCCATCGTAGAACTTTTCCCAACCTGGGCCGGTCAAACTTTATCTGCTTCATTCTTTGCATCTCCATCTCCTTACAGAACATTGCAGGCTTTCGTTGCCTCTCTCTCTCTCTCTCTCTATC